AAGATAATGTCCAAGGCCCTCATAAACAAAGAAGTATGCAGAAAACACCCTGGTTTCGTGAAGAACAAGCTGATGTAACGTCAAACTACCTTCCCCTTAGAAATGTACTAAGTTAGGGTATAAAAGCCATGGTAAAAAATAAAGCATTGCCAGATTCTGCCAGACCCTGCAAACACCCCCGTCTGGTCATTCTCTTCTCTCTCTCTCTCTCTCTCCTTTTCTCGCCGACGCCGTTCATCCTGAGAGTGCCCCTGCATCCTGCTGCGGCTGGACCCCGGCATCTCACTGTATTTTTTAAAGTTAATTTATTGGACGGCACTAGGTCTTAGTTCAGCATGAGAACTCTTAGCTGCGGCATGTGGGGCCACCAGGGAAGCCCCTCCTCTCACTTTATTAAGTCAAAACCTCTGATTTTAACAGACCACAGCCTTGTCCCTGGTGGTCTTTGCAATTTGAGGCTTTCACACTCTTACAAAGACCCTGACTGACTGGCTCCTGAAGGGGTGAACTGTTTCTGAGGCCTGTTCTGTCACCTTCTAACCATGGGTACATGGCCAACACAAAACCTCCCAGATGCCGGGTTCTCACAGCCTTCACTGTTTGGCTTAGAAGTTTCTCACATGAGAATTCTGCTTTAATCAGTTCTTGGCAAAAGAGCTGATTAGCAGTGAGTACAAAGTGCACTGATAAGTAATCTCAATATTGGAGAACAGTTATTTGAGGGCCAAGCACTTTCCATGTGTGTGCTAAACCCAGCGGCAAATGTCTGACAAGGACTGAAACATAAAAAACTAGAATAACTCTTTAGGGACCTCCTTGCTGGTTCAGTGGTTCAGATTCTGTCCTTCCAGTGCAGGGGGCCTCGGTTCCATCCCTGGTCAGGAAACTAAGATCCCACATGCTGGGCGCCACAACCAAAGAAGGGGAAAAAAAAAGAGAGAGAGAGAGAATAACCCTTTAAGGCAGGTACTGTTACTGCCCTTATTTCCTAAATTACAAAACAGGGTCAGAGAATAAGAAGTGGCAAAAGAACCAAGACTGGAGACAGCTGAACTTTACAGTCAGGTTTAACCAATAAGCACATAGACATGACTCTAGTTGCAGCTCCGCTGTAATCTTGCCGTAGCTAGGGATAAGGTATCCATCCTATGGTCAGGCTCTTCATCCACAAATTAGAGATATTCCAGGACTTACACCTTCCACACTATTCCTGTGAACTCCATGCTTATACATTCAACTGCTTCCTTGACTTTTTACCAAGAACTGTAAGCATCTGAAATTTTACCCTACCTGGAAACTAGCCTGCCAGTTTCATGGATGTTGTCAGAAAACACAATATATTGACAGCTTACAGTGAAAGATGTCAGATTCATGGTCTCTGAAGAAGATTTAGCTTCAGGACCAGGGACCAGAGACCAGGCTTGATCACTCAGAGCTTCTGTGTGACAAAAGTCTTACTACAGCGAAAAAGAGAAGAGAAAGCATCTGACGTAGACATCAGAAGGGAGATGGAGAGTGTCCCACTCACTAGTCTTAGCAAGGCCTTATATACTTTTACCAGACCCACTCCCACAAAATACATCTTAAATTAACAAGATCAGTCAGAAGGTTCTTGTTAAGAAGGAGAAACATGTCCTTGAGCAATATACATTGTTGTTATATAATAATCAGTACAGAGCTCAAGGAAAGACATACCCTGAAGCAAGATGAGTTATTCTGTTGTACAGTCATCAGCTCTGGGCTTTTAAGGGCAGGTCAAGAAGCAAGTTAGAACCAGACATGGAACAACAGACTGGATCAAAATTGGGAAAAGAGTATGTCTTTTGGAAAGTATGTCTTTGGAAACTCAGTCTTAAAGACTGTTGTCACCGCAACTCAGAGTTTAAGAAGAAACGTCTCATGTGACTAAGACAAAGCAATGTAGAAAAAAATGCTTGTCCTTTCCCCCTCCCTGAAGGCCCAGGACTCCTTCTCAACTGACCAAAGAATTGGCCTTCTCAATATTTAGGTCAAAATAACAGAGGATTTTATTACTCAGGCACAGCAAGGGGCATGAGATTCATGTTCACGTTGGTTCCAACCTTCCATCCGCAGGTGCCTCGGGGGTAACATGGAGCAGCCAGGCAGATGCTGGGCACTCAGTAGGTTTGCATTACAGCTGAGGAGCCCTGAACATAGGGACCCCAAATCTTTTATAATGGATTTTAAATCCGGCTGACCTTTCCCTAGATGGAGACATTATCTTTGTCATACTGGACAGTAAGCAAACCTGTCTTCTGCTCTTCAAAGAGACATTGCTTCTATATCTCAAGGATGTTCAGTACAGAAACAACTTTGAAAAGCAGTCTGGAACAAGGGCTTTTAGTGCCTCTGCTCACAAGATGTGCAGAAATAGTGAGATCCATGGAAAATGGAAAATTGTCTCCCAGCCTTCAATTTAAGGCGTCTGCCAGAATTCAGAAGAACCTCACTGTGGCATTTTCCATTGTGAGGAAGATCTCAGGGGCTGTTGTGAAAGACAAAGATGATTTATGTCTCTCCCTTTCCATACTTCACTGCACCCTACACCCCGGCCCTGTAGCTGGGTGTAGTTCTGTCCCTCGATCAGCTACAGGATCAGTGAGCAGCTATAATTTCACCATTTCTAATCATCCTCTACTCTACCTGAACATTTTGTTTTGAATGGCCCTTTACAACAGGGACAAAGGAATCTTTTAAAAACTTCCAGAGATCCATTATGTTCCCTGCCCTTGACCCACATGGGACTCTGTGAACATCTGCAGAGGGACTCTGTGAACATCATTCTCAGTCAAGTGGTCCTTATCTTCAGAAAGTCAGGAACTATGGTAGACCCCAAAACCAAGAAAGCAAAAATGAATGGGCCATCAGAATAAGGGAGCATCAGTTCTTTTTCATCTTTGGTTTGAATCCTCAAGATCCAATTTCCCAGAAAGACATGGGGGGAGATGTGTATAATCCTGGAGGGTGTGGGTTGAGGCCAGTCAGGATGACTTGTTCTGTGATTCTGTACATGAACAAAGAGAATTCAACGTGGACAACATCTGTGTGCCTCACATTTTCCAACAATGGTGATCAGGACTTTGCTGGAAGTACAGTGGTTAAGATTTCACCTTCTAATGTTCCATCTCTGGTCGGGGAGCTAAGAACCCACATGCTTTGCAGCCAAAAAACCAAAACATAAAAACAGAAACAATATTGCAACAAATTCAATGAAGTCTTTAAAAATGACCCACATCAAAAAAAAATCTTAAAAGAAAGAAAATAATCAACATGTGAACAGACCACAGTCATTATGAGTCATGTTTGAAACGTACTCTGACCCACCCCAAATTCCACCCCTTGCCTGAGGATATGAACTATTTCACTATCAAAGGCCAAAGTGATTTATTCAAAACAATCGAAGTTTGAGTGGCTACTGTGTCAGGCACTGTTCTAGGTGCTGGTGACACAGTAGTGTGGAAAAAAAAATAGGCAAAAATCCTGCTCTGATGGAGTTCATATATCAGTGGTGTCACTCCTCTGAAATTTTGTGTTTATTCTTTCTTCCTTTCTATATATATACATGTATGTAGTGTTATGGTATTGAGGGGAAAATCTTTTCCTTATCAATATTAATAAAGTTATTATGGATGTTTAGAATTTCAGCTTTATCTTGGAGATATTTCAGGTGATCACTTTGGAGGTAGTTCTCCTGAAAATTCCCTTGGAGAACTGGTCTAACCTTCTGAGGCAGGAACTTTCCTGATGAGGACAGTATCATGAAGGGTGAAAAAACTGGCATTTTTGTATTAAGAAAAAGGATCACAATGCTTTAAACACAGATATGCTGTTCAGTTGTCAAAAAGTCCACAAGGCTCTCATCTCAAATGTGTGTGCCAACTAATGGAATAACTCAGAGGCTGTCATCGTGAAAAACAAGGGGATATTTCTCAAATTAATGACCCTTCTTGATGGAGGTTTGACAATGGCCTTGGCCCATCTACTGTAATTTTAACATAATTTTACGAACTAAGAAAATTACACTGGGCACTTATCTCTCCATGATACCATCAAGGATATTGCTGTTCTATTAAAATTTTGTGCTTCCTGATTTTAGGAATCAGCTAATGAACAATTCCACAACAGTGCAAAGTGATGGGATAAAAACATAATGAACAGTTTATTTATACTTCTGGGTGAAAGCTGAGTTGTGGTTAATGACAGCTGGATACTGGTAACTGCTTTTATTTATACGCATAATAGAGATACTAGAAGGTGGGTAAAAGGCTTCGGAGAAGGCAGAATATTTATTTACTGATGGCATCCTGACAAGTATAAATTGCAATTTGTGCTTTGTAATAAGATTTTTGATACTTACTATCTCCTTTCTTTGGCACATCAACAGGATTAAAAAGTAACTAGAATGAATCTATTGTTTTTCTTAAATGTTTATGGAGTTATAAAACTCTTGAGTTTTCTTTATTAGACAGGATTAGGTATTTGGAGATAAACTAGAACATTCACTACTTAAAGAGTTTACAAAATGATAAATACCAGTTAGAAGAAAGCTTATTTTTATAACCAACAGATTGACTGGACTAGAGATTAATGAGTGCTGAGCCCAGGATGGAAAGATGCAATAAATTCAATGATTGGTAAAACTTCCTTTCTAAAGCTTCCCCTCTGTCCCACAAACTGTCTTCTTCTAGCACAAGGTGCTTCCCGTAAATGCACTCAGAAAATCAGGTCACAGAACTGGGATGTTAGTGCTGTCTCTTATCTCCCACCCACTTCACAGAGCATGCCTGCCATCCTCAGGTCACTGATCAAGTTCCTGGAACCTGCTTCTCTCCTGTGAGTGCAAGGGACCCCTCAGGGACTGCTCTTCTTCCACAATAATCTATCTCCCAACACTCTTATTTTGCACTTATAAACTTGGCCACGCCAGATAACATCCCCATCTTGCAGCAACCAGAAATCACCACCAGATGATAAAATCACTAACAAACATGAGGAAGAAATGCCTGCATCTTCTCCCACGGTTCAAAGGCAGAGCCATCCTGGGACTTCCCTGGTGGTCCAGTGGTTAAGATTCCATACTTCCAATACAGGAGGCACAGGTTCAATCCCTGATTGGTGGAAAACCAAGGCAGAGCCATCCTTGTGAACACAGGACAGTGAAATCCTTTTGTAGAATCAGGCACTTCACCCCTGTCAGTGCTTAGTCGGGCTACACAGTGCCCATAGAAGACCAGAAGAGAATGGACAGTAAAAAAATAAAAAAAACAGATGGGTTTCAGCTTCATAGGGAACAGAGCCCACATCTATTTTTATTTCTGCTTTTATTTCACCTCTATAAACCCAGGTCATAGCACAGTGCCTGGAAAAGAGGAGTTGTTATTGTTTAGTCGCTCAGTCGTGTCCGACTCTTTGTGAACCATGTGCTGCGGCATACCAGGCTTCCCTGTCCTTCACTATCTCCTGGAGCTTGCTCAAACTCATGTCCATTGAGTCCATGATGCCATCCAACCATCTTGTCCTCTGTCCCCTTCTCCTCCTGACTTCAATCTTTCCCAGCATCAGGGTCTTCTCTAATGAGTCAGGCTCTTCCCATCAGGTGGCCAAAGTATTGGAGCTTCAGCTTCACCATCACTCCTTCCAATGAATATTCAGGGTTGATTTCCTTTAGGTCATAGAAAACACCCTCTTCCAACAACACAAGAGACGACTCCACATGGACATCACCAGATGGTCAATACTGAAATCAGATTGCTTATATTATTTGCAGCTGAAGATAGAAAAGCTCCATACAGTCAGCAAAAACAAGATCAGTAGCTGACTGGGGCTCATATCATGAACTCCTTATTGCAAAATTCAGACTTCAATTGAAGAAAGTAGGGAAAACCACTAGACCATTTAGTTAGTCAGTTCAGTCGCTCAGTCGTGTCCGACTCCTTGTGACCCCATGAACTGCAGCACGCCAGGCCTCCCTGTCCATCACCAACTCCCAGAGTTCATCCAAACCCATGTCCATTGAGTTGGTGATGCCCTACAACCATATCATCCTCTGTCGTCCCCTTCTTCTTCTGTCCTCAATCTTTCCCAGCATCAGGGTCTTTTCCAATGAGTCAGCTCTTTACATCAGGTGGCCACTTATTGGAGCTTCAGCTTCAACATCAGTCCTTCCAATGAACACCCAGGACTGATCTCCTTTAGGATGGACTGATTGGATCTCTTTGCAGTCCAAGGGACTCTCAAGAGTCTTCTCCAACACCACAGTTCAAAAGCATCAATTTTTCAGCACTCAGCTTTCTTCACAGTCCAACTCTCACTTCCATACATGACCACTGGAAAAACCATAGCCTTCACTAGACGGACCTTTGTTGGCAAAGTAACGTCTGCTTTTTAATATGCTATCTAGGTTGGTCATAACTTTCCTTCCAAGGAGTGTCTTTTAATTTCATGGCTGCAATCACTATCTGTAGTGATTTTGGAGCCCAGAAAAATAAAGCCAGCCACTGTTTCCACTGTTTCCCCATCTATTTGCCATGAAGTGACGGGACTGGATGCCATTTTAGGTATGACTTAAATCAAATCCCTTATGATTATACAGTGCTGTGCTTAGTTGCTCAGTTGTCTCTGACACTTTGAGACCCCCTGGACTGTAGCCCACCAGGCTTCCCTGTCCATGGGATTCTCCAGGCAAGAATACTGGAGTGTGTTGCCATGCCCTTCTTCAGGGGATTTTCCCAATCCAGGTATCAAACCCAGGTCTCCACCACTGCAGGTCAATTCTTTACCATTTTAGCCACCAGGCATTATACAATGAAAGTTACAAATAGATTCAAGGGATTAGATCTGATAGAGTGCCTAAAGAACTGTAAACAGAGGTTTGTAACATTGTAACATTGTACCGGAGGCGATGATCAAAATCATCCCCAAGAAGAAGAAATGCAACAAGGCAAAATGGTTGTCTGAGGAGCCCTTTCAGATAGCTAAGAAAAGAAGAGAAATAAAAGGCAAAGAAGAAGGAAAGATATACCCATATGGATGTACAGTTCCAAAGAATAACAAGGCAAGATAAGAAAGCCTTCCTAAGTGAACAATCCAAAGAAATAGAGGAAAAAATAGAATGGGAAAGACTAGAGATCTCTTCAAGAGAATTAGAGATACCAAGGGAACATTTCATGCAAAGATGGGCACAATAAAGGACAGAAATGGTATGGACCTAACAGAAGCATTGGATATTAAGAAAAGGTGGCAAGAATACACAGAACTATACAAAAAATATCTCAAAGACCCAGAAACCACAATGGTGTGATCACTCACCTAGAGCCAGACACCCTGGAGTGTGAAGTCAAGTGGGCCTCAGGAAGCATCACTACAAACAAAGCTGGTGGAGGTGATGGAATTCCAGTTGAGCTATTTCAGATCCTAAAAGATGATGCTGTGAAAGTGCTGCAACAGCCAGACCTGTGTAACAAGGTCCAGATGACATCAGTCATGTAGGACCTCTGATTTTACTGTGACGAGCGTTTACCTCTCTTATTAAGAGAATGGATCTCTAGACATATATATAAATTAGGTAAACAACAAGGACCTACTGTAAAGCACGGGGAACTCCACTCAATATTTTGTAATAACCTATGAGGGAAAAGAATGTGTAAAAGAACACACATATATATACATGTACATAGACACATATATATGTAACTGAGTCACTTTGCTGTACCCCTAAAACTAACACAAGATTGTAAATCAACTATATTTCAATTAAAAAATTAAAAATAAACTTAAATAAAAAGAGGGATTCCCTGGCAGTCCAGTGGTTAGGACTCTGATTTAGATTGCAGGGGCACAGGTTTGATCCCTGGTCGGGGAACTATTATCCCACATGCTGCATTAAAGATAAAAATCAAAATAAAACAAACCAAAATTTTTCAAAGAAGAGAATGACTCCCCAGATGTCCCTCTTCAACTCTTTGAAACTGTGAATGAGGTCCAGCACCAGCACTCCACTTACAGTCATATGAATTTCTTACTATCACAGAGAAGATCTTACCAGAAACAAAAGTAAATATCACCTATCTTTCTTGTTTAAAACGTAACATTCTCTCTCACACACACACATATACATACTCATAAAATAAAAAATGATAACAAGACATTTCCCTTCTAATCACTCAGCTAAGTGATTCTGCATGCCTGCTGCTGCTCCATCACCTCCCTCCTCCCCATCCCGCCCCCAACCCCGGTTCTGGGACTGCAGCGGAACCAGAGGTGGCATCTCCTGCTCTCCCTCCAGAAGTCTGTTGTCAGCACACCCTTCCCAGTGCCCCCAGGGGCTAGCTGGTTTCCCCTTGTGGTCTGACCACTCTTCGAGCTTGTCCACTCTCCTCAAGGGGAAGTGAGCCATTTCTTCTCACCTGCACCTTCTGCACTGTGATGGTCAGTCCAGTTAAGAGATTAGGGACCAAAGGATTGGTTACAGATAAAACAAACACTGGGGCTTGGGACACACGACCTTATCACACTGTGATAGAATCAGAGGTCGAGGAATTGCCTGAGGTCTCACATCTGGTTGACAGCAGAACCAAGTCCAGACTTAAGGAATGTGGCAACTGGTATCTGTAACCATTCAACACAGTATCCTCAGCTATTAAGAGTTAACACACAGACACACCCTGCAAATGGGATTCTCTGGCTAAATTACTTTGATGTTTTCTTTTCTCATTTTTATTTTTAAATTTTTAGGCCACACCTTGCGGCCTGTGGGATTTCAGTTCCCTCACAAGGGGTCAAACCTGTTCCCCTTGCATTGGAAGTTCAGAGTGCTAACCACTGGGCCGCCCAGGAAAGTTTCTTTCTTTTTTTTACTTTTTTTCTTTGATTGCTTCTTGATACCAAACCCAAATGGTGATTCCCCTGTGTAGTCACTTCACCACCTCCCCATGGTCGACTCACTGCAATGCAGCCCTAGGACACTCTTATACCTCAACTCCTGCCAAGACAAGAGCAAAAGTTCATGATTCCAAGACTACCTCTCATGTTTTATTCATCACCTCCTAAATCTGGTAATCCTACTCTCATCTTCTTTCCCCCTAAAACCATTACTTCCTGAGAAACTTCCAGATGTTTCTCACCCCTACAGTCTAGTGGACAACAACTTACTGAAACCACTGAGTGAATACTAATGTCATTTTTTCACATAATGTATGCTACATAGTACCCTGTTCTATGTTCCTAACAGCCAGGACTGTACCTGGTTTCAAAGGTCTCTGAAGGTCCAGTGCCTGTAATAATTTGTAAATAGCCAGTGGCGGATTTTAACTAGAGTCTCTCGTGCAAGTATCCGAAGCAGTAAGCCACCAGTAAGTCTCATTCACTGCTGAGTGAGATAGGCTCAGCTCCGGAGTCTTGGATCTCCTTGAGGGAAAGGATGGCCATCCGAAATCAGAACGTGACCTCAGAAAGTTGCTGCTACACTGTGCAGGCAGTATTAAGGGACCCATTTCCTCACCCTCACTCAATGCTGAAAACCATCCTATTCTATACACTAGCTTCCTTTCAAAATTCCAACCGATGGCAAATGGAGAATTTTCTGCTGCTGCTGCTGCTGCTAAGTCACTTCAGTCGTGTCCGACTCTGTGTGACCCCATAGACGGCAGCCCACCAGGCTCCCCCCGTCCCTGGGATTCTCCAGGCAAGAACACTGGAGTGGGTTGCCATTTCCTTCTCCAATGCATGAAAGTGAAAGTGAAAGTGAAGTCGCTCAGTCATGTCCGACTCTTCGCTACTCCATGGATTGCAGCCTACCAGGCTCCTCCGTCCACGGGATTTTCCAGGCAAGAGTACTGGAGAGGGGTGCCATTGCTTTCTACATGATGACAAAAGTTCAAGGGTATGTATTTGGGAACAAATAAATTTGTACTCTATTGGTTTTGCTATTTTAACACAATTATTTATAAGAGACGCATTTAGAAAGGGCTTTTCATTTTCCAACGTAAGTTTGAACTTATTTTAAGTTGGTCATTTATTCTCTCTCCTCTCTCTCTCACAAGAGAATAATCTAACCTCAAACAAATTCCTTCTGAATGGGAAATTTGATGGCACTTTCTCTTCTCTCACTGTTCATTAATTTACACTGTTCATTAACTTTACATTAATGAACAATTTCCCAGTAATTCGTTTAAATAGAATAATTTCAAAAGAAGTTTCACCTGCAAAGCAATATACTTTTGATTTTCTACTGTTAGATTGACAACAAAAATTTTGGGAAAAGAGAGCATAAGTTAGTGGACAGTTCTCAAATTCAACTACAAGT